TTTCTTCATAATTTTGGCTCAGAATTAATTTATATACATTTTTAGTTTTATTTTAACTATTTAATTTTCAGTGTTTTTCTTCTTACATAATGCACTTCATTGTATTATCGCAATAGTAATATCTAGGGCTGCACGATTATGGCAAAAATCATAATTGTCGATTATTCCCTTGAAATTGTAATTGCGATTATTAATTACGATTATCACAATTTACATTGAATATTGTTTATACCAGTGTTTCAAGCAACCGCTTGACGTATTTTCATATGTCAGCTATACATTGGATTGGTTTCTTCTTTAAATAAAAAAAAAGTAAAAATATGCATGGTATTGTAATGTTACTATACTAATCCTAAAATTAAAACAATGGAAAAGCCCTTAAGATAACCTGTAGAAAGAAAAAACACATCTTAAGCACACAGAATAAGTGGACTTTGAACAATTAATTGCCGTTTTGAATGATTACGTAATTGTGGCATTCTTAATCTGTAGTATTTTTTTCTTAATTTGTTTCATATTTTTATTTTATATAATCTTTTTTTAGATACTGTTATTTCTAAAATATGTTTTTTTTCTCCGTATTTTATTTCGTTTTTTATTTTATTTTATTGTATTCTGTGTATTTTTAATAATAATAATAATAATAATAAATATAGCTGCAAGCATTTTACTATAGCATTTTACTACAAAAACTAAAAATGGTCGACACCCAAAAAGGCCGACATAGGAAAATTTGGCCATTGATTTGGCCAAACTGGTCAGAAGTTATAAGCAGAAATGTCCATTAAAAAAAATATATATTTTGACCAGTAGGTGGCGCTGTGCCAAAACTACTCGTGTCCTCAGGTCATGCTTGTTATAACACATACCAAGTTTGGTCAGAATCTGCTAAAGCGTCACGGAGATATAGCCTCATGTCCATTTTTTTGCACAAACTTAGTCAAATTTGTTAACGTGCTTTTTACGAAAATGGCTTGTTGCATAAAAAAAGCTTAATAACTTTTGATAACTTTTTTGCCAGAATGCTCTGTAGATGATCTGAGCCAATTTTGGTGAAGTCTGGGACAAGTTAGAAAAAGTAGCTTTTTCGAAAAATTCTAAATCGCGAAAAGTCTTGACCTGTAAATATTAAAATTTTGATATGCATTCGACTCTGCATGAGCTGAGGAATCAGAGGAAAAATGGATTAACTTACGGTTCAAAACTTATTAGCAGAAACATGAGTGCAAATTTGGCCTGTTGGTGGCTCTAGAGAGTTTGCGTTAGAGACTCCAAATTTGCTGTGGTTAATGATGAGATGGTTTCTCACACTGTGTGCCAAACTTCATAACTTTCCATCAAGCGGTTCTATATGATTAATAAGATTCATAACAATACGCTAAAGCGTTTGTTAAATACAGCATTTTACTACAAAATTCGAAATGGTCCATGCTAAAAATGGCTGACATTGAAAAATTGGGTATCGTTTGATTCGGTATGCCACTCTGAATCTAACGAGATCAATCTTATGATTGTTCAGAAATTATAAACAAAAGTGTCTATTTTTTATAACTTTTGCCCAGTAGGTGGCGATGTGCTGAAACTACTCATGTGCTCTCAGGTCATGCTTGGTATAACACGTATCAAGTTTAGTTAGAATCTGCTAAAGCGTCACGGAGATATAGCCTCATGTTTATTTTTACGCAAATTTTGTAAAATTCGTTAAAGCTCTTTACGAAAACAGTTTGGTCTATTGGAAATCTTTTGATAAGTCTGAGCCAATTATGGTGAAAATCGGACTAGGACGAGTTAGAAAAAGTAGATTTTTAGCAAAATTCCAAATTGCGAAAAATCTTGACCCGAAGAAATTAGAATTTTGGTATGCATTCGCCTCGGCATGAGCCAAGGAATCAGAGGAAAAAATAATTTTGCTTCTAGACCGGTTCAAAAGTTATTAGCAGGAATATCAGTGCAAATTTGGCCTAGTGGTGGCGCTAGAGAGTTTGAGATAGAGACTCCAAATTTGCTGTGGTTGATATTGAGACTGTCCTCAATCTGTGTGCCAAATTTCATAACTTTCCCGCAAGCGGTTCTATGGGCTGCTATAGACTTCTAGAGCAGAAGAAGAAGAAGAAGAATCGAAAGATTAATAATAAGAAAACTAATGGATACAATAGGTGCCTAAACACCTTTGATATTTTTTGGCCAAATTTTACATCCCTACAAAAATCACACACACACACACACACACACACACACATATATATATATATATGTATGTC